AAAAAAAAAAAAAAAACAAACAATGACAGGCTAGTGAACGATATCAAGGTCTTAAAAATGTCAAAGGAAAAAAATTAATTAATTTTTTTATTTTTTTGGTACCGGGAATCGAACTCAGGACCTTGCGCTTACCAGGCAGGTTCTTATGCCACTGAGCTATACCCCTGGCCCTAGGAAAAAAACCACAAAAGTCTTTCTTTGCGGGGGTGGGGGGGCGTGGTTTCTTCCAGTACCAGGAATGGAACTTACAACCTCGCGCTTGCCAGGCAGGCACTGTACCACTGAGCTAAATCCCCAGCCCCTAAAACACAAAATTATGAAGGAAAATAATACTGAACCTAGAAACCTACACCTAGCCAAACCATTACTCAAAAATGAAAACAAAATTTAAAAAAGAAAACTTTTTTTTTTTGTTTGAGGTAGGGTCTCTATGTGTATTTCAGGCTAGGCTTGAACTCACTTTGTAGCCCAGGCTGGCCTCCAACTCACAGCAATCCTCCTGCCAGATCCTCCTGCCAGATTCCCTAAGCACTGGGATTACAGGCATGTGCCACCACACCCGGCAAAAATATTTCTTGGGCACGCAAACACTGGCTTTATTTTCTGTGTATCTTTTTGAAGGAAGTTATTTGAGGAGGTAAAAAAATAACACAGAAAAAAAAGTAACACAGAAAGCACACTACAGGGAACAGATCTAAACCATCAGAACAGACCTGAAGGTTAAGGAAGTGAGCTCCAGGATTCTTATTTAAAACAATACAGCTGAGCCAGGTGTGGTGTCCTATAGCTGTAATCCCTGCACTAGGGGGACTGAGGCCAGATTACTGTGAGTTCCAGGCCAGCATGGGTCACATAGTGAGTTTAAAACCAGCCTGGGTTATGCAGTGAAACCTTATCTCAAAAAATTTAAATAAACAAACAAATAAATAAAGAGTACAGGTGACCTGGGCATGGTGGCATACATCTGTAATGCAAGCATCCAAAAAACAGCAAAACAAAACAATAACAAACAAAAAGGGTACAGTTGAGAGGTTGGGTAAATTTAGTGAAGGCATATTAGCCTCCTAAATTAAAAAATGAGGATAATTAGAATCTCCAGGACCAAAAAAACATAAGCAGCATTGGCAGCATACAGATACAAATTATTAAGTTATTCTTTAGTTTAATTTTGTTTTTTTGAGACAGGGTCTCTAGCCCAGGCTGGTCTCAAACTTGCAGTGATCCTCCTGCCTCAACCTCCTGAATGCTAGGATTACAGGCGTAAACCACTACGCCTGGCTCATCAAATTACCCCTAAGACTGAGCGGGAGGTTCAACTACATAACTTATATTACTATATATTAACTTAGGTAAAAATAAATTAAATGTTCAAATTTATTCTCACAGATCAAATTATTTAAAGGGTTTTTTTTTAAAGACTGTAGATAAGTTATGCAAGCAAGTTGTGGTTAAACCTTGAAGCAAACTAAAATATGGCATGATTTTCAAGAAAAGGATGTAAAAAAGAAATCAAATTGTATTTGACCCTGGAAACATTCTTCTTACAAATGGTAGAAGACACAGGATCAGCAGAGTACATGGATCACCCTGGACACTACTTAGCTTCTGCCTCACCCAACTCCTGATTCCCAGAAGTCACCAATGTTAAGTCTGAAGTGCATTCCAAACTCTCCTCCATTCATACAGAGTTATGAAAGTTTGAAGCAAAAGTAGAATTTGACTCTACTCATAATGACTACTCTTTACATAGTCTGATGAGACAAGAATAAAAATTGCATTACTGAAGTAGAAAGGGTACAGGAAAAAGGTGAGGCCTAGCAAAACAACCATGAGCATCCTATGTTTCCTGAGTTCTTGATGCTGCTGAATTGCTTCTGATGTAAGAATGACAGCATAGGTACACTAACAAGAGCCACAAGCAAGCCAACACTTGGGGAAGCTGGGACAGGAGGATCTTCCTGAGCTCAGGTTTTTTTGGGGAGAGTACCAGGACTCAAACTCAGGACCTTGCGCTTGCCAGGCAGGCGCTGTGCTGCTGAGCTATGGCCCCAGCCAAGTTCAGAAGTGAGACTAGCCTGGGCAACACAGTGAAAACCCTGTCTCAAAAAACAAACGAACAAAACCTGGACGTAGTGCATGCCTGTAATCCCAGCACTCTGGAGGCTGAGGCAGGAGAATCCCTGCAAGTTCAAGACCAGCCTGGGCTACAAAGTGAGCTCAAGGCCAGCCTAAATGCATAGCGAGACCCTGTTCCAAAAAAAAAAAAAAAAAAAAAAAAAACCGAAAACGAAAATGAAAAAGAAAAAGAAAAAAAATGCCAAATGCATCCTCAAAGAATGTGCTTTTCTTTTCTTTATTATTTTTATTTATTGATATTTAAAAAAATTTTTTTTGAGACAGGATCATAGGCTGGTCTAGAAGTCATGGCAATCCTCCTGCAAGTGCTGGGATTATAGGCTTGCGCCACCATGCCCAGCCTTAATTCATAGTATTATCAACTCAGTATCATGCTATTATCTTTCAAAAAAAAAAAAAGTGTATCAACACACATCCAGTATATACTAACTTCCATATTAATACATCTTCACTGAATGAAACCCTCTAAGAAGAAGTCATTTACATCTTAATACTAGTACTTGAAATTAAAAGCAGCATCCACAGTGATATACACACCCCATGCTTATAGTGATAGTTTATAACATCCAACTCTTGAAAACAGCCCAACTGCCCATCAACAGTTGAATGAATAAAGATGTAGTTTTTTAAATACAATGGAGAACTACTCTGCCATAAAAAAGGATAAGCCTGAGAGACATTTCCAGCTACATGAATGCACCTTCAAACTATACTCTTAAGTGAAATAAACTGAACACATCTGTTCAAATACTAAATTGCATGGTTTCTTTGGTGTGAGAAAACAAAAGTGTAAATAAAGATCAAAATGTATAATAGATATTGGAAAATGGGAAGAAAATATTCAAATGAGAAGGACAATAAGGGAGGGGAAAAGGAAAGAGGGACAAGAAAAAAAGGATAAAAGGAAAACAATGGAAACAAAGTTTCTGCAAATAAAGAGGGGAAGAGGGGAGGGCAGGAAGGGGAATGGGAAAAAAAAAGCAGCAAGATATATCACATTTGAGCTGGGTGTGGTGGTGCACACCTGTAATCCCAGCACCGGGGAGGCTGAGGCAGGACTGCCTTGAGTTCAAGGTCATCCTTGACTACTTGATGATTTCAAGATCAGCCTGAACTACACAGTGAGATTCTGTCTCAAAAAAAAAAAAAAAAAAAAAAATAGATCATGTACAGGTACAAACTCCCTATGACAAATGTTATCATTATGTATATCTAAAATGTACCAATAAAATAAAAAGTCAAAAAAATTAATGCTTGAGATAACATAAATTTTTGTTCTAAAATAGTCTTATTCTAAGTATTCACTGGCTTCTACCAAGACAGGAATGTAAAACTTGGGTCTACTATCAAAGTATAAAGAAGAAATGTTCAAGTATATAACAAGGTGGTATCACCACTCTACTAATCTCAAACACCCAAAGTCCATTCACACATATACTGATGGACATTTGTTTATTTTTTGAGACAGGGTCTCACTATGTAGTCCAGGCTGCCTGGGAGCTCCCAGTAATCCTCCTGCCTCACCTCTCCAGTGCTGGGATTATAGGCATGCACCACCACTCCTGGCTATGCTGATATTTAACTAAACTATTCCAAACTACAAAGATAATATTCTGATCTATAAATGTCACTAGATGTACTAAGGATGATTTTTAAAATTCCATCCTTTCTGTGTTTTCTAAATTTCTGAGGTACAATACTTGTAAGTGAAGCCAGGTGTGGTGGTGCACATCTGTAATCCCGGCACTTGGGAGGCTGAGGCAGGAGGACTGGCGTTCGAGACCAGCCTGTGCTACAAAGTAAACTCAAGGCCAGCATGAACTATATAGCGCAACCTTGTCTCAAAAAAAAAAAAAAACAAACAACTCATGAAATTAAAAACTCCTAAGTGAAATAAATCAGGCCTACATGTGTAAACATTGTATTGTCTCCCTAGTGTAAGAAACTGAAAGAGTAAATAAAATCCAAAACGTACAACAGATACTGTGAAAGGGAAAGAAATTGATCAAAAGGCAAGAACAACTGGGATGGGGGAAAGGAGAAAAGAAAGAAGGGATACACACACAAGATAGCTAAGATAATTGTACTAGTAATTTCTATTGGTTTATAGAAAGGAACAGTTAATGCCTAATTTTGCATGCTTATATCTGGTAATCTGAGTAACTACTTTGAAGATAACAGTATGCAATATAACAACCATGGTTAATTTCCTATTATCTTGTTTTGAAATTCTGTATTGTTTTTATTTTTTTTTAAAATTCTCTTTAAAATAAAAAAATAAAATAAAAAATAAAAAGAAATAAATTTCTCAGGTATGGATAATTATGTCATGATAATATCAAAGACACAATGACCACTATCACAACTTTTATAAAAGGAAAAAGAGATAAAGGGTTTTTGTTACTTGAATTTTAATATGAAAAATTATCTCAATATAAGACTGCTCTTATTCTATTTTGCCCTACATTCTGAGTATTAAAACTAATAACATTTTGAGCCAGGCATGGTGGCACATGTCTATAATCCCAGGACTCTGGAGGATGAGGCAGGAAGATCACCACAAGTTCGAGGCCAGCATGGGCTACATAGTGAGTTCAGGCTGAGCCTGAACTACACAGCAAGACCCTGTCTTATACACACAAAAAAAATACAAATACAAATACAATACTATAAAACTATAATACCAATACTATAATACCATTTGGTACTTAACAGCAAGGAAGGGACATTGCTTCTTTTTACAATGTACTTTCCAGGCACTATACAGGACTATGAAAACATGCTGTGTCCCAGAAGGCTAGTTACTAAAAGCAGCTATAATGGGAATACTTTGATAAGCAAAACCATTACTTACCAAAACCTCAAAAAGGAGTGCCAGTAACTTATTATTAGCCATGAAGTTACTGTCCAAAACACCCAAGTTAAACCAACTTCCCAAACAGCGAAAGACCTTCATAAGCATTTTCTCATCTGTTCCTGCCTTTTCTACACAGGTCATCTGAATAGAAAGAAAAAAGTTAAAACAATGTCAATCACCTTAGAAGTACAATAACAAGGACAACAATAGTAACAGCTAAAGTTGGCAGTGATTTTGTAGATAACATTGTTCTAAGCACCATTAATCAGTTTATTCCCCAACAAACCTCTATAGGCAGGTACAGTACTATTATTATCTCTTGTTTTTCAACAGGGAAATTGACACACAGAGAGGTAATAAACACATTTCAGAAACTTTTACAAATAACTTAGTACGCTGCTTAGTTCCCACTTTTCCATTATCAATAAAATTGTTTTATTTACTGTTTGTTTGAGATAGGACCTCCCTATGTAATTCAGGCTGGCCTTGAACTCACTATGTAGCCAAGGGTGGCTCCAAACTGTGATCCTGCCTCAGCCTCCTGGGTGCTGGAATTATAGGTATATTGCTGCCATGCCCAGCAATATAATAATTATCCTAAAAGTAAAATTATTCACCTATGTACCTGGTTTTCATAGAATAAAAGTAAACTAGGCATACTACTATATACTCCCTCATGAAAAGCTTCAGCATCTGAATACTCTAGTAAATATGTTAACCCACAGAAAATGACACTATTATAAATATTATATAAAAGAAACATAACAGAAGTCAGACCAAAACTCATCACCAGTTTTCTTTGCAAACTCTTTTTGTGGCACACTATTTTTACCAAAGTAAAGTGTCACCCAACATTTTCTAGGTAAGGAATGTTTCAAGGGTCTGGGATGTAGCTCACCGGCAGAGTGCTTGAATAGCATGTGCAAGGCCCTAGGTTCAATCACTAGTATTGAAAGCAGGGAGAGGGCATGAAAGTTTTCCCAGGCAGTGGATTCTAAACATAACTGCCAAGGATTCAGGAGGCATGGGTGTTACAGCTTGTGTCATAGCTTGTGTCTAGATGTCTCCTCAAAGCCTCATGCAGTCATAGGAGGGGCTTTTTTGAGGTGGCTGGCTCTCAAAGCAGTGTGTGATGCTGGGATTAAGGGTGTGTGATTACTAAATTAGTCCACTGATTGGTTTGATACAGATCTGGTTACAACAGAGGGTGCCCCACCCTGGGTGTGTGAGTGCCACTCACCCTAGGGGCTGGTAGCCTGGATAAGGTTAAAAGGGCAGGGCTGAGGATGTGGCTCAGCGGTAGAGCTCTTGCCTTGTGTGCACAAGGCCCTGGGTTCGATCCCCAGCACCATAAAAACAAACAAATAAAATGCAAGTCTAAGTGGACTTGTCTGTAACCAAGAAGCTTGATCAATAAATTTCCTTTCCAACATCACATTAAAAAAAAAAAAAAAAAAAAAAAAGATAAAAGGGGCAGAAAGAGGATCCCTGCTTGTCGCTCACTTGCTGCCTTCTCCCTGCCATGAACTGTTTCTCCTCTGTGGTGCCCCTGTGCCATACCACCCTTGCTTGGAGCCAGCCAACTCTGAACTGAAACCTCTACAAACTGTAAGTCAAATAAACCTCCCTTAATTTTGGATGTTGGGTATTTTGTGTCAGCAACCAGAAAAGTAACTAAGACAAGGAGGTAGTAGGGGCATGGTAGAATACTGCTACCCTAATATGTAATGTGCTATCAAACCAGATCTCAAGGCTGGTGCTTGTTCTTTAAGGTAGCCCTATGTTTGCATTATCAGGCAAGAATGATACATGGTTCTTAATTAGTTTGAATTATATTTAACTAGATTGGAATAAAAGAGAAAAAGAAATGATTCAATTAAGTTTATGACAACCACAGTCTAAAGAGTAAGTTTTTGGTATTCATGTTTACATCGCAAAAGCAAGCACTACAGGAAAATCCTCCAGATCGAAAGCTTCCTCTATCATACAAGGTACACTCAAAATGACTGTTTTACTACTGTCCTCCAAGGATTTTTAGGCTGCTTGCAAAAATGAAGAAGTGAGGAGTTAATATGTGACTATATTCTTCCTTCATTGTCACAGGACACAGTATTGGAGACACTAAATCTGAAAAACTATCAAATTAAAAAAAAAAATCAACCCCTTCTTTTTCTTCTTGTTGCTTCTTTTTATTATGTATGTATGTATGTATGGTACTGTGGGTTCAATCCAAGGCCTTTGCATTAAACTACATACCCAGGGATCCCCACCCTCACCCCACCTGCTTTTTGGAGACAAGGTCTTGCTAAGTCACTAAATTGTCTGGGCTGGGCTCAAACTTCTGATCTTCCTGCTTCAGCTTCCCAGAGTGCTTCGATTACAGGTGTGGGCCATCACACCTAGAAAACTAGGCTTTTCTTCTAAGTCAGAAAAAGATGAAAGAAAGGAAGTACAGGCATATAAACATACTTGGTTTTTAATTATTTTTTCTGTCTCTTCTTAGCCATTACATTTTAGAGGGGGAAAGCAACACATAAATAATAAATAGGCTGACCATTCATTATAATTAACATTTACTGAGCCCTGAAGTATGTATTGGACACTTTAAAAGCTTTATGTGTATTAATTCACTTAATCCTCACAAAATGGAATAGATATTATCCCCATTGTACAGATGAGGAAACTGAGGCACAGAGGTTAAGTAACTTGCCCAACATGGGAGAGCTAATAAAGAACACATCCAGGACTCAAAGTTAGAAGCATGGCTTCAAAGTCTGTGATCTTAGTTACAACACTACAGCTACCTCTGAAATTTATCTGCTTGTATACATACAGAACATTATTTTTTAAAAAAAAATCTTTTTGAGACAGTCTCACTATGCAGTTCAGACTGGCCCTGAGCTCACTTGGTAGCCCAAGCTGATCTCAAATTCTCAACGATCCTCCTGCCTCAGTCTCCTCGAGTGCTGGGGTTACAGGCGTGTACCACCACACCCGGCCAGAACATTACTAATAATCCAGGGCTTTGTATATTCAAAAACAACGAAAGGCTGGCAGCAGTGGTGCATGCCTACAATCCCAATTACTCAAGACAGCCTGGACAACTCAATGAGATCCTATCTCAAAATAAAATACAAGCGGGTATAGTGATACACACCTATAATCCCAGATCTTAGAAGGTTGAGGCAGGAGGTTTGCTATGAGTTCAAGACCAGCATGTACTGCATAGCAAGACCCTGTCTCAAAAACAAAACAACAACAAAAAGGGCTCGGAACATATATGCACCAGACATAGGCACACCCAAACTTTACCCAAAAGAAAGGGACTAGGCGATCCCAATACAATTAAAATAGATGAATTCAATATCCCCGTTTCATCAATGACTACATCATCCAGACCAATAAAACAAAACAAATAAACAAACAAAAACTCACAAAGAAACATCAAGTTAAATACACTACTGACCAAATGGACTTAACAAACCCCTATGGCACATTTTTTTCAGCAGCTCACAGAACTTTTTCCAAAACAGACCATATTGTAGACCACAAAGCTAATCTTAAAAAAATAATAATTTCATGCATCCTATCAGATTACAATAAAATAAAACTCAGAAATCAACAAGAGAAATCATAGAAACAAAATAAACACACACTTCTGAATGTCTGGTGGGTCCTTGAAAAAACCAGGGAGGAAATTAAAAATTCCTAGATTCAAATGATAATGGAAATACAACATAGCAGAACCCGTGAGATATAGTGAAGGCAGTTCTACGAAGGAAGTTTATAGCTGTAAGTGCCTATATTAAAAAAGCTGAGAAGCCTAAAATAACCTAATGATCTATTCCACAATCTTAGAAAAAGAGAACAAGTCAAACTCAAAGCCAACAGAACCAGAAATAATAAAGATGTGTTGAAATTAATGGAGACTAAAAGAATACAAAAGATCAATGAAACAGCACTTGAGAGGCTGAGCCAAGAGGATCACTGCAAGTTTGACATCAGCCTGGGCTACAAAGTGAGATCAAGGGCAGCCTACACTATATAGTGAGACCCTGTCTAAAACAACAAAACAAAACAACTAAACTAAACTAAACCTTTGGGAACTCCTAGAAAAATACATAGGTGAATCAACTGAAGCCTAAGCACAGGCAAAAGCTTTCTGGATAGGACTTCAATACCACAGGCAATAATAGCAAGAATCAACAAATGGGATTACATGAAATTAAAAAGCTCCTACGCAGCAAAACAATCAACGGCGTGAAGAGGAAGCCACAGAAAACCTTTGCTAACTACTCTTCCAACAGATGATTAATATCCAGAACAAAGAACTTAGAAAATAAAAAGAAAGCCATACACACACCCGCCCACCTACAAACCAACTAGTCTAATAACCAAAAAGACAAATTGGACATATTTTTCAAAAGAACTATAAATGGCCAGTAAATATGAAAAAATGTTCAACATATTTTGTCATCAAGGAAATACAGGTCAAAAACTACACTGAGAGGGCGGGGAATATAGCTCAGTGGCACAAGCACCTGCCTGGCAAGTGCAAGGTCCTGAGTTCAATTCCTGATACCAAAAAAAAAAAAAAGAAAAAGAAAAAAAAGTAAAACTACACAAATTCCAGGTGGCTATGGTGGTGCATACCTGTAATTCCAGCATCTAGGAGTTTGAGGCAGGAGGCTGGCCGTGAGTTTGAAGCCAGCCTGAACTACATAGCGAGACTGTCTCAAAACAAAACCTACAATGAGATTCCATCTTACTCCAGTCAGAATGGCTATCATCAAGAATATACAAAACACGGCCAGATGTGGTGCTCATGCCTATATTCCTAGCTCTTGGGAAAATTAAGCAGAAGGATTCCTGAAAGTTGGAGGCCAGCCTAGGCTGCAATAGTAAGTTTAAGCCCAGCCTTACCTACAAAGTGAGCCCTTGTCTATAACAAACAAAGAAACAAACAAAACCCCCCAAAACCAGTAAATGCTGGTGAGGATGTGGGGAAAAAGAATCTTTACATTGTTAGCAGGAATATAAATTAGTATAGCCACTATGGGAGTCAGCATAAAGGTTCTTCAAAAAACTAAAAGTAGAACTATCATTTGCTCCAGCTATCCCACTCCTTCATGTATTCTCCAAAGAATTAAAGTCAGCATACTACATATACCTGCACATCCATGTTTATTGTAGCACAGTTCACAGTAGCTATGGAAATATCCTAAGTGTCTATCAACAGATGAATGGATAAAGAAAATGCACTGTACATATACAATGGAATTTTTAGTCATAAAGAAAAAGCATGAGAAAATGGATTCAACTGGAGACCATCCTGTTCTATAAAATGGCTAAATCCTGCAAATCACACATTTTCTCTCATATGTCACACATTTTCTCTCATATGAAAAAAACGGGGAAAGGTGTTTGAGGTGAAAGTAGATGAGAGCTGGGAATGGTGACGCACAGCTGTAAACCGAGCACTGAGGCGGCTCAGACAAGATCATGGTGATTCTGATACTTAAAATGGAGAAACGTGGACAGACTCAAATGAAACTGATCAAAAACTCCCAAGTCATTCTCAGTCTCCTCTGCTAGCAGAAATCACCTGTCCTAGTCGTGCCTTCCTCACAATGAAAGCCCTCTGATAACCCCGCCTGAGACAGTGCCTTTATCCATTCTTCTCAAGACCATCACAAACATTCCCTGTTGCCACTAGATCTATAGTTACAGTTAAATCTCAGCTTTTGCAGGTACCCACAGAAGAAACAACTCACAAAGAGAACTGTAAAACTTTGCCAATGTGTAACTGAAGAAACCTAGGATAACATGTGGGTGTGACTGTGTCAGAACAAGAATGAAATATAACATTAGAAGGAACTAAACTCCTTGATGAGTGTAGTTCCAGAAAATTCTGGATTTAATGAGTATGGAGCTTCTGGAAAACACCAATAGATAAATCAGTACAAACATCCAGGGTTTGAAGCAAACCTATGTCCTATTCTGCAGGTAACAATTCTCCTGAGAAGCAGCTTCTGCTTTAGGACTGGGCTGGTAAAGACTAAACATTTAACCATGAGATACCAAGTAGTTAAAAGGTCTAAGCTACCACCATGAACTGTTATCTGAAGGCTATCATCTGAAGATGAGTAGCAATAATCTGTCATCAGACGGAAATAGTATATGAGACCAAGATCAGAAAAGTCTGCAGCATAGCGAGACCCTGTCTCAAAAAGACGAAAAAAAAAAAAAAGAAAAAAAGAAAAGTCTGCAGGTAAAAGCTGCATGAGCAAATGGCTCAGATTCCTAAGAAACCAGCTCTTTGCACACTGATTCTTGCCTTTTCATCCATGCCTATGACCAGATTCCTGAAAAGAAAACTGCTCATGCCTGATCTAAGGTGGTTCTGCACAGTATACTGGTACATGCCAGAAAGCAATGGCATTGGAAACCCATTTAGCATACAAGTGGTAATCAAAATATGTGATGTGCTCAAATTTTTAAAAATTATTACAGTGAAAGATATATTGCCATTAATTTCCTGAAAACACTCCCTCTCACTTTGAACACACTTATCCTTTTATTCTTGCCAATTTCTGAAGCAGTTCTGGGAATTCTCTTTCAAGAGTATCTTTATGAGGTACGTGGTGGACTGACAATTGGTCAGCGTGGTGTGGGTTGTGGAAGGCCCACCCAAGGACTGTTGCCAACAGCATAAAAAGGAGACTGGACAGGAAGAGGTGGTGCTGTCGGTTCTACTGGAGAAGGTTGTCACACTGGTTTCCCTGACATGAACTTGGCTGTTCTTATCGTTGGGGGAGCTCCAGACCTTGCTGTTACAGAGGATGGCTGTGGTACTTTTCAGGGGAGCTCTTGTTCTTACTTCTGGGCTCCAGAAGGGAAAGTTGTGTGCTGTTCAGTCTCCTGTGCCAGCTTGTCGTGCTGGCTTTCCTGATATGAAGTTGGCTGTTCTCATCGTTAGAGGAGCTAGGGACCTCGCTATTGCTGAGAATGGCTGTGGTACTTTTGTAGGGAGCTCTAGTTCACTTTGAGTATTTCTTCCTGGCTCCAGTGCAGATCTCTCAGCCTGCTGGCAGAGATCTTTCATCCTGCTGGCACAGACTTTCTAGCTTCCCCCACTGACCTTGGGACCTTCCTAGAGCAGATCCTTGAAACAGACTTGCATAAGACATTGTGGTTTCTTGGCCTCCAGTTACACTTGTGAGAGGTACTGTGATAGGCCCTAGGACTTCAGCTAGACTCATGCAGGACATTGCCGTGGGATCCAGGCCCTCAGTTGGATTCTTTGGGTCTTTAGTTTATGGACAGATTTCCTGCACTTTTTTATACTTGACTCTTTGGGTAACTACTATAAAATAATCCTATAAATTATGTGTCCTGTATTAAACTATTTCCCTTGCAAACTTTGACTACAGTAAGGTATGATAAAAAATATGGTGAATGCTAGTGCTGTGTGCTGGCCAGCTCATTAAAACATTACAGTTGTATCTGGCAGTGTAAAATTTCCGGCTCTTCCACAAAGTCAAAATGGCAATGAAAGGTAAGCATCTTGAATTGACTCAGGCATTGAGGTACTCACAACATAACTAAAGACACAAAGAAGTCTTCCAGAACTGCTTCAAAAAATGACAAGAGGGCAACCCATTCAGGACCCCTTTAGAAAGTAAGATACTGGATATTATAAAATAACTGGCTCAATCTTTTCAACATCACATAATTTTGAAAAAAGGAAGGAAGACTATGACGAAGAACTGGTTCTAAACTGGATATTGATTTGCAAAAACTCTGTAAAGGATATTTTAGAACCAACTAGAGAAGTGTGAACATGGCCTGAAAGATACTATTGCATATGAAAATTTACTAAATGTAAAGATGAACCTAGATGACTAAGGAAGTACAGTGCGGAAGGGCAGATAGAGTGCAATCTCATTTGGATTTTTAAAAATTCTACATATCATGAAGAAATACTATGTTCATAGAGAATATGTATTAAAGGGCTGACTGTAGTCAGCACAGTGATATGCCTCATGAGACCAAAGCAGGAATACCGATTGAGCCCAGAAGTTTGGGGCCAGGCTTCACAACACAGTAAGACTAACCTACAAAAAAAAAAAAAAAACAAAGAAAACAGCAACAGTGGGTAAAGGAAGCCAGGGATATAGCTCAATATCCAGCATGGCTGAGGCTATAGATTCAGTCCCCAACACCACAAAACAAATGAAAATAAAGGGTATAATCTCCAAGTGGTTTGAATGCAACTATCTATCCTTTCTAATTCTGTGTAACACTATTCCTTTAAACATATTTTTTTTAAAAATAAACATATTTAAAAGAATAATTTTCCAATGAATATAGTATCAAGCTGGACACAATTTTTAACAAAATCTTTTTCTCAAACAAAAAGCTTTATGATATCACAGAAACACTGAAACAAATCCCTGAAAAAGCATCTTTTTTGAGCACATTACTAAGAAAATTAAGCTGGTCCATAAAGACCTAAAATAGGGACTAGATAATTGAAGACTATCTGGTTTAGGAACCAGTAGCCCTTTTCTTTTTTTTTCTTTTTTGCCTTTTGGAGACAGGGTCTTTATGCAGTTCAGGCTGGCGTTGAGCTCACTTTGTAGCCCAGGCTGGCCTTGAATTCGCTAAGATCCTCCTGCCTCAGCCTTCCAAGTGCTGGGATTACAGGCATGCACCACCACACCCAGCTTGCCATTTTCAATAAAGGGACAGACAGTAAGTATTTTAGGCTTTGCAGGCCACATGGTTTATGTGAAAACTACTCAACTCTGGGGACATAGTCCAAAATAACGGACACACACAATAGGTATTAAATGGGCCCGAATGTGTTCCAATAAAACTTAATTTGAAAAAAAAAAAAAAAAAAAAAAAAAAAAAAAAGAGCCAGCTCATGGACCATAAATTTACCCACCTCTGATCTATACCATTAAAAATTACAACTAGCTTGGTATGGAGGGGCATGCCTGTAATTCCAGTAGTTGGAAGCTGGAGCAGGAGGATCACTGAGTTCAAGGTGAGCCTGGGTTACACAGTGAATCCAAGGCCAGTCTCAATTACACAGCAAGAGTCAAAACAAAAAAACAAAAAGAAATTCCAACTACTCTAAAAAGACCTAATTACATTCAGTTCTTTTTAAATTTTTTTTTTCTTTTTGGTACTGAGAATTGAACTTATGACCTCACACTTGCCAGGCAGGTTCTGTGCCATTGAGCTATATCCCTGGCCCCTGGTTCTTTTTTTAAAATGTGGTATTAGGGGCTGGGGATTTAGCTCAGCAGCAAAGCGCCTGCCTGGCAAGCGCAAGGTCGTGAGTTCGGTTCCCGGTACCGGAGAAAAACAAACAAACAAAAAAAAATGTGGTATTATAAGACTCAAAGGTCAAGTAAGGTCTTCTACCACCTTTCCATCAAATTGTCATTTTGTTTCTATGAAAGAATTGCTTCCTTACTAAGTTTATACACACTTCTAGCATGATCTTTCATCAAGAGCTAACAGCTTATAGCATAAAATAGTAGAGCATGTGGTATGTAATCAGAAAGCCTAAGTTCAAACTCTGAATTAACAGTGTATAACTATAAAGTTCATTTTTCATTCACAGAATGGATATCATTACAGTCCAAGAATTACGTAGAAGTTCAAGTGCAGTTTGCAAAAAGCATTTTATAATTGTAAAATGTCATATATGCACCAAATTAGTATCTCTGCCAAATTTTGCAAAGAAGGCTATTTCACAATAGTTCAGCTGAATCACAAAATAACCACTATGGTTTCTGCCCATAGGCAAAAAAAAACCCCAAACAACAAAACCTTACCAGTAGAGACACTACTGTACTAGAGTAAAAGGCCAAATCTTCTATAATTTCTGTGCGCCGGTTAGCTCCAATTCTTAAGGAACGACTATGTACTTCTTCAGGTAACACTGTAAGGATCTCCAGCAAAAAAGGCAAAGAAGTTACATCATTGCTATATCTAGAAAACACAAAGGGGAAGATTTAACGTAAGTTATTGAAAGCCAATCAAAACAGACAGCCGTTATCGGGACACCCCACAACAACAAAAGGAACATTCCCACTATTGTTAAGGGGAAGAGAAAAGATGTAATATTTCATATAGAAATATAATCTTTTAGAAAGGTAGAAAGATCCTCCAACCAAAGTTTCAAATTGTACAATTTTTTACCAGCATTTCCACTTTTGGCAATTTATCTTTCATAAAACATTCATATACTGTAGGTATGGTGGTGCACACCTCTGATCTCAGCATTCCGGAGGCTGAGGAAGGAGGATTTCAAGGCCAGGCTGGGCTACATAGCAAAACCCTTTCTCAAACAACAAACAAACAAACAAGCAAACAAAAAACCTACATGGAGAAATTTGTCAACAGTAGCTAAGTATTAACTGCTTCCCCAAACTGTTATCAGTAAATTATGTATTACTGACCTTTTCATAAATTAAAGAATTTAAATGCTACAGAAATATATCATGTGGGATACAAAAGACCCTGAATTCACCGTCCCCCAACATAAGTTAACTGCAACATAAGTGGATTATTCTACTAACTGATATATCAACAATTTAGTAAAAATATTATCCCAGTATTTAAGATACGTTCTTACTAGCTGAGGTTTCTTGTGTGTCTGTCAAAGAAGCCATCTGCATTTTAGATACATGAAACCTACTACTTTGAGTAAAATATTTCCTCATGAGTCCAGTCCAAAATAAACCTTTTCCCATAAAATTATATAACGACTTTCATGGTATACTCTATTTGGTGGTTTAAAAAAAAAAAAAAAAAAAAAAAAAAGAGGACAACTATCTATCTCAAACTTAGGACCCTCCTACCTTGCTTGGCGAGCGTTCTGCCAGCCGTATCCCCAGTTCCACGTACTCTTGATATTTGATTGCATTGGTTGAAAAATTAGTTTTGAACAAAATGTATGTCCTTTATTATACTGCTAAATAGAGTATAACATGAAAAAGTCCCTAAATGGATCTTTTATTATTTTAAATGAAAAAGGTCGTTTTGTTTTTGTATTACTGGGGATTGGGGATAGGGCCTTTGCATCCACAGTCCTTTTTCATTTTTAATTTTAATTACAGATGTGCACCACTACACCCAGCTTCATATAGCTTATTTTTAATTCTAATTGTTAGCATACTCCTTAAACAAATTACTTACTTTTCCACCAATGTCTGTACACATCCCTTCCAGGAAGGCATTTGTAGGGCAAGATCTGCTATTGCTAAAGCCAGCTGAGTAAAAGAGATTAAATAAATGAATAGGAAAGATGACCAGAACAGGGTTGCCATCAATATTCACTAGAAAGAGACTGAATTTCTACAAAACAGTATGACAAGACTGATATCACCTTCCCTTTATCCCTACAACTATACACTGTATACAAATATCTCACGTAAACACCTTAAGAACAGTTACAAATTTCTGGGATTTAAATATTAACCTTTAAAAAAATTATAAAAACAAAACAACAAAAGAGGTCAGAAAAAACATAGATCTTCCTTAGACTGTGTCAGTCTCCCCAGCACTGTGGTGTGCCCGTGTACACCCTGCTGCTCCAGAGGGTGAGGCAACAGGAACAGGAGTTTGAGGCCAGCCTGAGCACCTTGCCAGACCCTGTCTCAAAATAAAATAAAAAGAGCTACGGATGTAGATTAGTGGTAGAGTGCTCGCCTAACATGTGCAAGGCCCTAGGTTCAATCCCCAGTACTGAAAGGAAGTAAAACAAAACAAAAAAAAATATATACGTACTTTTATTTGGCAATACCATAGGACTTCATGGACAGATAAATATTACTTTGCTAAAAGGTCAAAGCTAGTGACAAAATCAGACCTTTGTCTCAGGCCTCAAGCAATGCACTGCCACATCCCTTCTCTTTCCATTTCTCATCTTGGAGCCATATACAAAAGCCTCCTCAGAAGCAGGGTGTGGTGATGCATGCCTATAATCCCAGCACTCGGGAGGCTAAGGCAGGAGGATCAGTGCAAATTCCAGGCCAGCCTGGGCTACAAAGTCAGCTCAAGGCCAGCATGAATTGCACTGCAAGACCCTGTCTCAAAAAGACCAAAAAAAAAAATCTCAGATCACTGTGAGTTCGAGGCTAGCGTGGGCTACATAGTGAGTTTAAGACTAGCCTGAGTTACAGAGCAAGGCGCTGTCTCAAAAAGCAAAACAAAACACAAAAAAGCCTCCTCTTCAAGGGCACTTTTATGTCAGGCAGAGAACACATGAGTATGTATCCACATAAGCTTCCAGCTTTCCTTTTTTTTTTTTGAGACAGGTTCTCACTATGTAGCTCAGGCCGGCCTTGAACACACTATGTAGTCCAGGCTGGCCTCAAACTCATGGTGAGCCTCCTGAATCATCCTCCCAAGTACTGGACTACAGGGATGAGCCACCATGCCCAGCCAGTTTTTCTTTCCAATATACTTCCCTGTCTAAATGAGAAAGGCCAGATGCCCTAGTTCAGTTTTATTATGTTAACTTTTATAAGCCAATCAGGAAAGATTTAAATTATTAGCACAGGAAGGATTTTATTACCTTACAAAGAATTTTTTTAAAAGGCAACTCTGTAAACCTCTGACTCAGCACAGTACACAATATTTTTGTCATCTCCTGTTTTAACACCAGGGGACACATGCATGGCTGTGAAAATATACACTCAACTTACCCAATTCTAGTATTTAAATTAGTTTAAAACCTAATGTACACAAACATTAATGCAAAAGATTAAAATTGTCACTTTTTATCCACTTATAGCAAGCCCTCTATAATAAAGTTAATAGCATTTACATGGCCTAGCAACAACAATCAGAACAAATTTTATACATCCAAATGACTTTTTATAGATTTCCCTAATAGGCATAGGATTTACCTGTGTTACAATGACAGGGGACAAATCTTTCAAGTTCTGTATATGGGTTAGCAACGAGTCCCTTAATGAGGCATGAGAGTCTGTAGGGAGCTCATAAAATGAGGTCTGAATCTTCATCTTCATGGTTTGTGCAGCAAAATAGCATGATTCCACATCCTGCCGGATTTGTAGCAACTGGTCAGAAATTTCCCATGCATGAACCTAAAAGAAAATTAGACAAAGATATCTTTAAAAAGATTATTTTTCTAGACAATTTTAATGCCACATAATTTTAATGCATATATAAATGTGTATAGCCCAAAGTACAACACAAGAAAGTCTGGTAAGCTAAATTACCTAGTTCAGCCAATATTTCAAATTACAATGTTTTAGGCGGTATTCAACAAAGGTACTGCCTAAAATTTTATCCACTCTAGAAGGCATGAGAGCTATCAATTCAATCAAGAGATAGAATCAGGCCAGGCATGGTGGCACACGCCTGTAATCCCAGCACTTGGGAGGCTGAGCAGGAGGATTGTTGTGAGTTCAAGACCAGCCTGGGCTACAAAGTGAGCTCAAAGTCAACCTGAACTGCATAGCAAGACCCTGTCTCAAAAAGACAAAAAAAAAAAAGAGAGTCTTGCTGATTAGAGTTACTAATTATGTAAGAGACTGATAGGAAGAAAAATATCACAAAAGTTTCTTGAAAAAAAAGTCACTGTATAGCTTATAATCATATATATAGGGTTGGATATTTCTTTTCTTCACACCTAATTTTGTTCACTCTGAGCAGAGTTTGAAAGCTGTTTTAATATATCTATAAATAAGTAAATACATTTCCTATTTGTCTCAGTAGGCCTACATTTCAATTTTTAGCACCTAAAAATAGAAAATAATCTTGGCCCAAATGAACAATTCACATAGTTCAAATATTTTCTGATGTGTTTATATTTAGGGAAGTGCTATACATGCTACTACAGTCTTTTTTCACAAAATAATTTATGCATCTATAGAAATAATAAAAGAGAACAAATACAAAAAATTTGGTCTATAATAGCTACTCACAATTATAAAAGGAAGTCCTATTTTGAAAATAACTTTAGGAAAAAATCATGAGGCTCACAAAGGGTTAAATAATTAATGATTGATAAATTCAAATTCAATTCTACACCAAACTGCCTCTTCATGGGAGAGTCCTAAAACAGACTGGCAATAATAGATTAAAACTTTTTTCAATCTCAATTCAGGAATGGTGCTGACTGTGAAGATCACACCATTTTTCCTAGTCAATTTCTTATAAAGATAGAGCACTTCACAAGTAATATTTATTCTTTAAGATCTTTCCAAAGACAGACAAGCATCAAGATACAGAAACACAATAAACAGGTAGCTTGTACAAATTCCTAAAGCTAATTGAAAAGAAAGCCCCTGAATTTTACAATTACGGGTTTCCTAACATGAAACTTGGCTTTCACTCTAGCAATATGTTGGTGCAAATAAACGAAGCATTAACTCCTTCAAGAGTTAGTATATCTTATTAATTTTTTGGTACTTTTTACCTCTAAATAAAAAAAAGAGAGTCTTGCTGATTAAACTCACTAATTATGAAAGAGAATCATAGGAAGAAAAGTATCACAAAAGTTTCTGGGAAAAAAAAGTCACTCAAAGACTCAAAAATACTCAGCATCGCTGGGTGTGGTGGCGCACGCCTGTAATCCCAGCACTAGGGAGGCTGAGACAGGAGGATCATTGCGAGTCCGAGGCCAACCTGGGCTACAAAGTGAGCTCAAGGCGAGCTTTAACTACACAGCAAGACCCTGTCTCAAAAAAAAGACCAAAAAAAACCCCCAAAATACTCAGCAAATGAATTGATGTATCACTAATAACACCAATGTTCTCCCTCAGTTATATATTTTTTTTCCAGCCACAAAATTTTTGGCTATTATTATTAACCAGTAACCCAAGCATATCTATGATTTATGGTATCTATGATCTATGATATACTTATTTTGTTGGGTGTGGTGGCACACACCTGTAATCTCAGCACTCAGGAGGCTGAGGCAGATTACCATGAGTTCCAGGCCAACCTGGGCTACATAAGCGAGTTCAAGGCTAGCCTGCACTACACAGTGAGACTTTGTCTGGAGGGGGAAAGAAAAGGAAAAAAAAAAATCTTTATTTTGTTCAAAGTGATTTTTTTTTAATAGCAAAAAGATCTATGAAGCTTTAGAATCTCTACAAATACCCTCAGAAACACACAGCAATTAGCAAAACCAAAACACTAATGAACATCTACAAAACTAAGTCACATCCACTCATCTCTAAGGGTTATCTCCAAGAACCCCAAAATGTAAGTGGATAAGAACCAACCAGATCTTTGTGGCTTCAGACCAAAAAGCCACTACGTGATTTAATGGAAAGTACAAGGAGCCAGTGTGAGGGCTGCAGCTGAAAACATGAGGATTCGCCAAATCCAACAGCAGTAGGTCCTACCTACATACGTACGGTAAGGTATGAAGGGCATCAAACAATTTAGCCTCTAAAAAACCTTCAAACTGAAGAGTCAGGAAAGTGACCCAAACTAAAGAGACTGCTAAGACCAAACAGAAACAAAATTATATAATCCTAAGCAGAGTCAAAATTACATAAACATAATAGAGATGAAGGAAAAAAAAGAGAAGGTAATAAAGCTAGGAAATCTTAGAAATCAAACCATTGTATGTGTAACTACTACCTGAAAATAACCAAAAAAAAAAAAAAAAACCTATGAAGTTGGAAACATTAGCCTTAACCAAGACTTCTAAAAGCTCAGAAAATCTAATTTCATGAAAAATAACAAGTAGGTCAGAAAAATAAATTGAAAAACTAGTCTACTATTTTCAAATGAGCTAAAAGACATCAAGAAAATGATATGTGTGACTAAACATATTTGATGTCTTAAGAAAAAGTAAAAAGCTACTTTAAAAAAAATTTTTTTTTTTTTTGGTCTTTTAGAGACAAGGTTTCACTATGCAGTTCAGGTTGGCTTTGAACTCACTTTGTAGCCCAAGCTGGCCTGGAACTTGCAGCGATCCTCCTGTCTCAGCCTCCTGAGCGCTAGTATTACAGGTATGCGCCACCACGCTGGCCATAACACTGTTTTTAATAAATAAAAATTTTTTAAAAGGTTGTAAGATTCAAGTGTAAGTGACCACTATGGTTTGGATATGGTCTATCCCCCAAGGGTGCATGTGTAGGAGGCCTGAATGGCAATGGAAAATGTTACAGTTCAATGGTTGAGCCTTTGCCTAGCAAGACTGAGTCCCTGGGTTCAATCCCAGCACAGTAATCACACCCTCAGGAGGTAGGAAGTCTAATGAGGGGTTGTTACAGGCCCTGCACCTCTCTTTGGCTACCCATCTTACCGTAATGGGCTCTCTCTTTCACATATAAACCCCCATGAGGTCCTGTATAAAGCCTAGCCCAGTCAGTGCTACCATGGTGCCCTTGAATCATTAGCGCTGTGAAGTAAATAGACCTCTTTTCCTTATATTCAGCTTTAGGTGTCTTCATTAAAGTAACAGAAAACAGACTAAGACTGTGACAAATCTTGAAGATAAGCAAAGAAGATCTAAATCTAATATACAGATTTTAAAAATCCCTAAATAAAATTTTAAAAAGGAAATTATGAAAAACCACAATTCAAGACAACATTCTTGAAATTTGGGGAGTAAAAAAAATATGAAACTACACATTAAAAAAAAAAAACTATATACATTGAAAAACCATATTATGTACCTAAAATATTAACCCTGAAAAACCAGTATCAAGATGCAATTTAGTAAAATTATTATACTTCAAGAGAAATAATAAAATAATCTGAATGTATCTGGAGAACAAGCGACCTTGCAACATTTCATGGCAGAAGACAATGAAATAACATGCTGAAGATACTAAGAAAAAATATGTAGTAAGAATTTCATCCAGTCAAACTCATTTTCAATTATAAAAGTCACAAATGTTTACATGCAAGAATTCAAGCCAGGCATGGCGGCACAATCTGTAATACCAACATTCAGAGGGCTGAGGCAGGAGGATCATGAGTTTAAAGGATAGTCTGGACTACAGGGAGTCCAGAGGGAGACCCTGTCTCAAAAAAGCCAGAAACAAATCCAGATTATTATTCCCAAGATCCCTTCCTAAACAATCTTAAAACAAAGTAAGAGTTTCAGACAAAGTAACTAGAGGGAAGAGACAATAACATAATGATTGGTGGTGAATACTAAATATGTAGTTTACAAGGACAACTTAAGCTGAAGAAAAAATAATTATTAATGTTTGCACATCCTGAGTTTATATAACCGTTAATGAATCAGGGAGAAAGGTGAGAATGTATACAAAAATAAACTTCAGTTCAGTATACATACTGGTGATGGGAATAGTAATACTGTTAGTCTGAGGCTACTGAATGCTAATATGGGATAAAGCAACTGAATAATTAAGGTAGACACTAACTCTACCAACTTCTGCATCCTTAAAACTGGATCTTACAATGGAAGAAAAAAACTCAGACATAAAAGGACTACAGACAAAAACCTTGTAGTGAATTTGAATAAAAAGTATCTATATGGGGTGGAGGGTGTGGTTTAATGATACAGCATGTACTTACCATGCATGAGGCTCTAGGTTTGATACCAACAGGGAAGAAGAGAGTGTGGGCAGGCATATATAAATTCATGAGGTATTTATCTGTCAATATTCTCTGTATACCTATTACTTATATAGCTACTTACCCACACATATTCATATATACATATACATCCACATGTACACAATACATAATTTATAATTATATATATAACTTCCTAGTTCTATTACCTACTCCAAGTCCTAAATACACTACCCTACCCAGTAACAATTTGCATTCCTATTGCCTACACCTTGTAGTCTTTCAATTTAATTTCCCACTAAAAGACACCAATATCCCTTGAAGAAAAAGCTGAGTCAAGGTCTGAAGAAGGCAACATACAAAGATGAGCCTATAATCTGTCTTGTCATACCAGACACCATGGAAAATTTCAGGCTACTAGAATCATTTCAAAGTACGGAGAAGCCAATTTAGGCTTATTTGTGAAAGACAAGACAACTTCAGCAAGGAATTTAAATTATTATTCCCAAGATTATTACATGCAAGATATTTACATGCAAGAATTCAAGCCAGGCATGGCGGCACAATCTGTAAT